CCTGTCACTGAGCCCAAGGAAGAGAAGCCCATACTTATGACTGTGTTTCACGAGTATGCAACATGCTAGGAGGGGGTGCTCCTACCACCTCTCCTAGCAAGGACACTGGGTTAAATAAAAATAAAAATAAAAAAGTTGTTCGACAAGCTCCTGGGAAAGTCAATCTTCGCATCAGGGTTGGTATCGGAACTCCCATAGTAATCTCCTGTGGGGACAATTGGCTTGGATGCGTCACCTTTTGCATATAAGAAATCGGTATCTTTCTCTTACGAATTCGTCTTTGTTTATGCTATTCACTATTAGTTTTTTTTTTGTTTTTTTTTTGTCACGATGAATGGAGGTCATTTAGCTGTAGTGTGAGAATCATACTTGCGGCACATCTATGCGTTGCGCGATGCGGTGCGGTGCGCAGCGCGCAGTGCGCCCGTCGGGGATGCGCGCATTGATGCGCGATGCGCAGTGCGGGACGCGAGATGCGGTGCGCGGCACTTGGATGCGCAGTGCGCCAGTGCGCCGGGGCGTGCACGTTGCGCGCATGGTGCGCCCGGGCATGGTGGGAAGGGGAGGACAACGACGGAGGGAGGAGGAGATGGGTGACGAGGGAGGGAATGGAGGAGCGAGGAGGAGATCAATAGCGACGGAGGAGGGGGAAGGGAGAAGGGCGGAGGGAGGACGACACCGATGATGGAGGGAAGGGGAGGACAACGACGAAGGGAGGAGGAGATCGATGACGAGGGAGGAAGAGATCGAGAGCGAGGGAGGAGGGGGAAGGGAGAAGTGTGGAGGGACGGCGACGCCGATGATGATGGAGGGAGGGGGAGCAGTGGTGCACTATTAAAAATTTCATATATGAAAAAGAAAAAGAAAAAAAGGACGACATGATGAAGGAGGGAGGGGGACGACAGCGATGGAGGGAGGAGGAGATCGATGACAAGAGAGGGAATGGAGGAGGGAGGAGGAGATCGATAGCGAGGGANAGGGGGACGACAGCGATGGAGGGAGGAGGAGATCGATGACAAGAGAGGGAATGGAGGAGGGAGGAGGAGATCGATAGCGAGGGAGGAGGGGGAAGAGAGAAGTGTGGAGGGAGGGCGACGCCGACGATGAAGGAGGGAGGGGGAGCAGTGGTGCACTATTAAAAAATTCATATATGAAAAAAAAAAAAAAAAAAAGGACGACATGATGAAGGAGGGAGGGGGACGACAGCGATGGAGGGAGGAGGAGATCGATAACGAGGGAGGAGGGGGAAGGGAGAAGGGCACAACGGCGGAGGGAGGAGGAGATCGATGACGAGGGAGGGAATGGAGGATGGAAGAGAAGTTCAATAGCGAGGGAGGAGCGGGAAGGGAGAAGGGCGGAGGGAGGACGACACCGATGATGGAGGGAAGGGGAGGACAATGACGGAGGGAGGAGGAGATCGATGACAAGGGAGGAATGGAGGATGGAGGAGTTCAATAGCAAGGGAGGAGCGGGAAGGGAGAAGGGCGGGGGGAGTACGACGCCGGTGATGGAGGGAAGGGAGGACAACGACGGAGGGAGGAGGAGATCGATGATGAGGGAGGGAATGGAGGAGGGAGGAGTAGATCGATAGCGAGGGAGGAGGGGGAAGGGAGAAGGGTGTAGGGAGGACGACACCGATGATGGAGGGAAGGGGAGGACAACGGCGGATGGAGGAGGAGATCGATGACAAGGGAGGAGGGAGGAAGAGAACTTGACGGGGGAGGTGGAGAAGAACGATGGCAAGGGAGAAACGGGGAGGAGGAGCTGCACAGTTTCCACAGAGAGACAGAGAGAGAGAGAGAGAGAGAGAGAGAGAGAGAGAGAGAGAGAGGGGCTGGTGGTAACCCACCTGGATTTGGCCGCTGCTTCCTTCGCTTCCTCCCAGTGCTGCGACCCTTGGCTCCTTCGTGCTGCTGTTCGCAGCTGCACGGGATGTGGCTGAACGATGAAGTGGGGAGCTGCTTACTGTTGCAGTGAACACGAGAAAAGGAGTGAGACGACGACGACCGTGACGACGAGACACAGCGGCCGTGAAGGACTGCGTGGCGTCGGGGAACCAAGGTCGACTGCCGGGCTGGGGACCGACGTGGGGCAGGTTCGAGCAGTTCAAAAAATGAACTTCTTGGATCTCCCCACTCTTTTTTTTTGCGGGGGCATTCGCGGCCTCAAAAAATAATTCATTTTTTTTTGTAGCCGGCGGTGCGAAGTCCCTACCGGGCATACAACCCCCCGCCCCAACTTTCGTTCTTTTTTTTGGACCCCTCGATTTGCCTGTGCGCCGCATGCCATGCGCGCTGCGCGGTGCGGCACATGTGCGCGCTGCAGCGCATGCCGATGCGCCGCATGTATGGTGAGAATCATGGTAACCCCGGACCCAGACACC